CTGGATCCGCCCTTGATTGAGTGAACCACTCTCAAAACAGTCACTTGCTTTGCGTCATAAAGGAAGCGCCATGCGTCATCGCTCCGTCTTGATTTCAAAATTTTCAAGTTTTCCTGCTTTTCCCCGGGGAAAGCTTGCGATTTTCCGAATCGGGATTTTTCCCGCTACAGTTTGGTGGTATTTTCGCGACCGGGAGTGGAATTCTCGCCGAAAAACGCCGATTTTCGAAATTGCAACCGGCTGACGTTTGCTGTCATCGGCCGGCATTCATACTGATCTAACCCCATTTTACCACTGAGTATTCTACAAGTTCAACTGCAATGTTCGCAATACTTTGAGGACTCTCATTATGGAAACGGACTATTCGGGACAATCCGCTGGTAGGTGCAACTTTTTTACTAACTTTTCCCTGTTTGACGATGTTAAACTTGGCAGCAGTTCGCTGTTTTCTAAACCCCATTTTTCCTGCTTCAAGTGGACATACAGAGCGTCCGAATTGCCAATTTGAAGCCCAAACTCTTTAAATTAATTGCTTTTCTCACTAAATTAAGGCTTGTACCTGAGTGCGTCCTGACATGATCAACGGCCGCTTTAATAGCAGCAATTTGGTGTTCCATGTTCCGTGATTTGGCCCAGTTCTCGCTTCTCAGACTGTTGGTGTTCTGATCCAAGTGCTCGTTGAGGCGCCGGAACTCCTCCTTGAGGCTGAGGCAAGTGCCTTTGGCTAGTTCGGGTTCAATTGGGTCCTCATCCTGATGAACACCAGGGTTCTTTATTTCGCTAACTGTTAACGAAGTCTTTAACTTACCCCGTTTGCACTGGCAATTGAAGCCACTAGAAGGAGGACGATTTGCCGAACTGGAGGCATTTTTTCAGTAGTTGCGCTTAATTGGTTCGCTATCGGAGCTGAGCACTTAGGCGAAGTGTTTAGCTCATTTGCTCATGTTTAGTTCACAGGGAGTTTAAATTTAGAACTAGTAGAGAGTGTTCGCGTTGAACGAGTTTGCACAGTTTAAAGCTTCTTCAAATCGCTTGGGTTTAATTGGATGATTCGCGCACTTTAAAGACAATGAGTGAGACTTACGCCGGTTTTTCCTATGATTTTAATTCTGCTGTGGTTGGTTGTTTAGGGACGCTAATTAATCTTGAATGGGCTCATTAAGACGCATCACTTTACCATGTCAGTTCTTCAGCAAACAATGAACTTCCAGCAAGGTGGGCGCGGTTTAAAACGTGACCGGCCTTGGCCGGCTACTTCTTTTTCAATACATCATCAGTCACTGGGCATAATCGGCTTATTGTATTGGCTGCGAAGCCCACTACATTTAAGGAGAATCTTCCTTGGCCAAGGTTTTCCACAAGAATGAATTTCCATTTTATTTTATTTCAGTCATCTTTACTGGTAAAAGAACGGTTTTTTAGCTGACTTCATTCCCAAAATGCTCCGTAAAAGTACATAATTTTTGATCGAAAATCGGCCAGTTTTTTTTGGATTACTGACTACGATTCGAGTTATTTTTTACGTTTCACTGAGGAAGCAAATGAGCAAAGTCCTTTGCTGGTTAAACAGCAAGATGTTATCGGAAAAGGTACTTCGTTAACATTTGACTACGTGTGGAAGGCTAAAGGTTTGGCTTACCTCGTTAAAACTAATTACTTTTTGTTGCTCAGGCTGTCTAATACTTGGATGGATATGAAACAGTGAATATGATGCAAAAATGTGTGAATATTTATTTTCTATTTATTATTTTAAGAAATTCTCCCTTTGCTTGCTGACAATAGTAAATCATGCCGTTGTTTCAAGTGTGTTTTTTCAAATATTGTTCGTTTTAGCTATGATACATCCATAGCAGTGGATATTTTAAGCTATCGTTAAAATGTTTGTTTTTCTACAGAAAAATCAATTTTTCTCAACTTCAGAGCCATAAAGCAAA